GGTGGAAATTTAATTTGCCAACTTTACAGGGCTAATTTTAAAAACATTAAGTCTGTTTGATAGAATGAAAAAAGCAGTGAAGCAGTATCTTTCTAGTTTGTAATTATTTTAACTTTTTCTGCGCAGTAATATCAGTTTTGTAAAAATTAAAGTTTTTTGTGACAAAAAAAAAACGAAGAGACTTAATGGAAGTTCACTTGTGCTAAATTTATTGGTATTTTACAACGTTGGAAAACAGACAGTTTTTATGCTAAAATTAAAAACCAAAAAAAGTTGATAAATTGAATAAAAAAAAATTTTAGTGACTGGTTAATGGGGTTTTAAAATAAAAATAAAAAATATTTTTTTTTTTTCCTAATAAACGTTGGTTAATCTAACCGTTTGTAGTGCTGTCGTTGTTGAGTATATTATTGTTGTTGAAATAGACTGCTACTGAGAAATCAAGTGAAAATAAAAACAAAATTTTTTTTTGTTGTCATTTGAAGGTGAAAGGAAGATTTCTATATTCAAAAATAATTTTCAAAGAAAATTTTCCGTAGACAAGACATTTCCTGTCTCCAGAGCTGTCTCCGTCGTACCGGTTATCAAATTTGGTCTCAAGCAATTGCTCAACTTCTCTGTTTGGACTTGGAAGCAACCTTACGGTGTTCAAGTAAAGACGTTGAGAACTAATCTTGGTTCTCGGTAGTAGGAATGTTGTTAGAGTAGATGGATCTAACTGCGTAGCCTGTTGTGTTCAGGCTTATGCCAAAAGGAGCTGGAAGAATAAGGCTTGCTTTTTCGGAATCCATAAAAGAGATAGCAGCTTGCTATTTCATTAAGACCTCAGACTTAAAGCGACGACTGAGCAGTTGCAAACCGTTCAGTGCCTGTGTGGTTGGAGTTGGTTTTTTGGTATATTATTCAGTTCAAGAGTGCAAAACTGATCATTGTCAGCCAAATTCAAGTGCTCGTTCCATATTAACAGTTTTCTGCCTAGTTTATATATGGGATAATATTAGTATTAAAGCTAATTTAATACAGATCAAAATAAATTTAACAGTTCTAATGCAGACGATCGAATATCTGTTAAAAGAGAAATCTTAAATATAAATGCAAATGTATATTCCTTTTCTTTTTGTTTTTTGTTTGCAATATTTGCTACACTTCCTTGTGTTTTTTTTTT